ATACATTACATACTTTTCCCTCAAGACTTTAGGAATAAAACAAAACTTACCTAAAATCATTTTTTAAATAAATTTCCCAGTTGATTAAAGAATTAAGTGATATAAAATATTACAAGTTTTCTGTTTTTTCAGGAATTAGTTACCAATAAACTATTACGCAGATGTTATTTTTATGCAGAATTTTTGGGTAGTTGTAACTTTGATAAGTTAATGGGGGAATTTCATATGGTTTATGGAATTCAATAAATCTGTATCCTTGGGCTTTTGTAAATACAAATTCAGTTATTTAAAGAGGTATATTATATCTCAGAAGAATTTATGAGGACTTCTTTTGTAGAATACAAGTTATTTCTTCATTATATTCTTGCTATTGCTTTTCAAAAAAAATCAGAAAGTGGTATTTCCCCACCTTTTTACAAGAGGACTGCATTTAAAGAACAACTGACACCAGAGATCGTATGGTTATTGCATACTGCCTTGCCAACAAACACTCAAATACATATGAAACTGGAAAACTGTGTCTTTCTTTTCTATCATGAGAATACTTTTAAGTGATTAGGATCAAATTGGCTCAAAAAGGTGGATGGTGGATCAAATAAATCTAGAAGTTAAACTATAAAACTCTTAATAAAAACATAAGGGAAAGTCTTTATGGGAGAAGGGAAGAAGTAAAAACCCAGGGAGAAATGTCACACTGGTGCACCTAGGCAGATGGGTCCAGAGGCAGCTTCAAACAAAGTTCCCAATCCCTGAGGTAGTCACATGAAACAGAAAGGGCTAGACTTCAAGAGGGTATGTAGAAAGAGACAGGGCTCCTAGATGTCTACACTCCAAAGCCCCACTCCCACTCTAAACCCAGATATGTGGTACAATTTCTAAATCAGGCAGAGGAGGAGATGAGGTTGTTTTTGTTCTAGTTGGACACAGCAGGAGGGTGAGGATTCAGAGTCAAAATGAACTTGAGTTATATAACACAAAAGAACATTTCTTTTACTGCTGCATTTTGTGGACTAAGTCACACTCATATGCATTTTGCTTCCTAGCCATTCATTTATTCGATCAATACTTATTTTGTATCTACCACGTGAAAAGGGCTATGGGAGAGAGAAAGTCATGGATGACATATCTCCATCATATCTATTAAAAAAAATTTTTAATGCGTATTTATTTTTGAGAGAGAGAGAGAGAGAGAGAGAGAGAGAGAGAGAGAGAGATTGGAGGAGACACAGATAGAGAGGGAGACACAGAATCCAAAGCAGGCTCCAGGCTCTGAGCTGTCAGCACAGAGCCTGAGGTGGGGCTCAAACTCACAAACTGAGATCATGGCCTGAGCCAAAGTTGGACGCTTAACCGACTGAGTCACCCAGGTGCCCTCTATCACATCTATTTTTAAATTCAGCAAAGTGAGCCCATGGCAGCTACAAGTCATGATAGAAAGCCTTCCTCCAGTGATAGACTGAGACTGATAAAAAATGGGTGAGTCTAAAGCAAACTATATTCTTGATGAGTTGAGAGAAAAGCCGGGAGTCATTTCTGTGAATGAAGATGTTTATGCATTTCCTTCTTAGGTTTATCTAGGTCTGAGTATTAGAACATATCCCTTTATAAAGCATCCTCTGCTCATTCCAGCTGGAAATGTTCTCTTCCTTTTCTCAACCACTATGGTTTGTTATCTGTAGTTCTACTATAGCACTTACCACATTTTACCTTGTTTATTTTTAGCTTTTGTAGAAGTGCCTTATCTCCCTTTTGATGTCCCTGGAAGAAAGGTGTTTCAAAGCATTATCACAGTACCTTGTGCATACCAAATGCATAGTAAATGGTACACGACAGGTAGCATCAAATAATGTTTCTCAAAATATGGACTCCTTGCCTCAGTTACCCTGGATGCTTGTTGAAATTCAGATTCCTGGGCCACGCACCAGCACTACTGAGTCAGAATCTCTGGGTGTGAAACTGGAAACTCACATTTTAATGGGCTCGCTACCATTTGAGAACCATGGATTTCCAGATGTAACAATTACAGCAAGATGTGAGATGGCAAATAATAGGTTTCATCCTGACTCTGGTAGTGGGTGCTACTGACTGGAATTCTGAGGCTGAGGCTGGATAGACCCCGGGAAACGGTGTCATCTAATAGTGATGCCCACCAAGTAAGGGATGGGGTGGGAGGAGCTTACATGCAGCACATTTGGCGTTTCTGAATATGTTAACCTCAGGAATGGAGAAAGTATATCATCCTCTTAAGAATAATCACAATTTGGGGCACCTGGGTGGCTCAGTCGGTGAGTTCAGGCCCTGTGTCAGGCTCTGTGCTGACAGCTCAGAGCCTGGAACTTGCTTTGGATTCTGCGTCTTCCTCTCTCTCTGTCCCTCCCCCACTCACGCTCTGTCTGTCTCTGAAAAATGAATAAACCTTAAAAAAAATTTTTAAAAAGAATAATAACAAGTTGGGGCACCTGTCAGGGTGCCCAACAGTCGGTTGTGTCCAACTCTTGATTTTGGCTCAGGTCATGATCTCACAGTGCATGAGTTCGAGCCCCACGTAGGGTTTTGTGCTAACATCAGAGCCTGCTTAGGATTCTGTCTCTCCCTCTCTGCCCCTCCCCCACTCATGTTCTTTTCCTTTTTCTCTCAAATGAACTTTTAGAAAAAAGAATAATCACAAGTCATCCTTGCAGAGGTTTAATGGTAATAAGTTTTTTCTAAAATTTTCATGGACATTCCAGAAAATGGGGTTTTCAGGGTAGTACATACAAATTGAGAAAAAAGAAACATTTTGGGGAAATTTCTTCTACCAAGAGCTTTTTTTTTCTCAATGATATTAACCATTACCTAAATTTCACAGGAGACCAGTTAACTGTGAATATTATTCTTGTTTTTAGGGCAGGGAAGAAACTTTGGCCTTTTTTGTAGCATTGTTGTGTAGCACTTTTTTTTCTCCCAGCTGTGCTTTCTTTCTTATTGTGTATACTGTTTATAATTATTGAAGAGATTTAGAAAATACAGAGAAAAAAAGTCACTCAATAGAGCATCATCTTGCAATAACATCTGATGAAAGTTTCTATGTACACATATAGTCTGTTTCTGTATAATGTTGGGTGTAATGTTTGAGGGCTAAGCAGCCTCACAACTGTATAACTGAACGAGTTACACACTTCTCTGAATGTTAGCCTTGTCATCAGAACAGAGACAATTGTGTTCCTGGCTTCAATTTCCACCCAAACCAATGACTCTCAAGTCTACAACTTTAGCCCACTTGTTTTCCTTTAGTTCCAGACGCAAGCTTCCTACCGTCTACTATGCCCCTTACCTAGATGTCATACAGGCATCTTAACCCAGTACAAAAAGCCACAAGATTGGGGCGCCTGGGTGGCGCAGTCGGTTAAGCGTCCGACTTCAGCCAGGTCACGATCTCGCGGTCTGTGAGTTCGAGCCCCACATCAGGCTCTGGGCTGATGGCTCAGAGCCTGGAGCCTGTTTCCGATTCTGTGTCTCCCTCTGTCTCTGCTCCTCCCCCGTTCATGCTCTGTCTCTCTCTGTCCCAAAAATAAATAAACGTTGAAAAAAAAATTTAAAAAAAAAGCCACAAGATTGAAATATTTGAGCTATCCTAGACTACTTCCTCTGTCATCTCACTAAATTGGTCCAATTGGTCATGAAATCCTATGATTTTTGTCTGCTAATTGTTCCTCAAATATATCAAGTCTCCTTCATTTCCACTTAGGGTGCTCTCACAACTCACTTCCTGGGTTACCATAGTAACCTCCTAAATTGTCTCACTGCCTTCCATCCTCCTCACTGCTACCTCGGGACTTTTTCTAAAGGCACCCTTTTTGGGTAATAATAATAATAAAAAATTGCCCTCCAGTGATTACTTCATTGCATTCATGTTAAAATACAAATTCCTTAGCTAGGCATGATCAGACCTCCACTTTGCTCTTCAATTTCATCATCCAGCGAAATTCAAAAGCAAATCATTTGTCACCTACTCTGACACTTAAAAGAACACGCTGATGTTAGCCTACCTTAACTTAAATGCTGATTTGACTTCCTATGAGGTGTGTGAACTAGGGGAAATTAGTCTACCCATGAAATAATAGAACCTACTTCACAGGTTGTTGGGAGGATTAAATGAGCTAAAATACACAAAGAGCACGTATCTTGTCTAGCGAGTAATTTGTCAGCTGTTAGCTATTATTATCAGCCCCCCTAAACCACAAATCTGCACTGCTGGTTCTTCTGCCGGTAATACACCGTCACCTCTCACCACCTGGCTATCTTCCATCAAGATTCAGTTCAGGGGCCACAACTTCCAACAAGTTTACCCCGTCCCATCCTCTTGTCCCATTTGTCCCAACGTTTCCTTTGCAAACTTGTTATTGTTAACTATTGCTGGTGTCTATCACAAGACTGTGTTTCTAGAAGGATGGATGATGCTTTCATTTTTTTAGGCGCAGCTTAAAGACAGGTGCATGACAGTTTGTGGATGACTGCACAGAGAGCACCCTTGTGTCACGAGAGCCGTAAATCAATGTACCTAAAGCCATTTTGTCCAGTGTGGCGATTTGCCCGGAATATGAGACAAAGTATTCCCTCAAGCACTTCTGGGGAAGGGAGGCTTAAAACCTTAGCCACTGAACCTCGGGGGAAAAAGGAATTCCCTTCCTACTTTTCTCACCCCAAGAAACTCGGTAGAAGCTTGGGTCTCGGAACCGCGGAGGGATGACGCGAACTTAAAACGCACTGCACATCTCAGCTTGCGACTGCTGCTCCTCCGCGCCTGCGCAGCTCCTGACAGCCTGGGTCTGGCTCCTCAGCCGAGGGTGGGGCCAGGGGTCGCGTTTTAGGATTGGGCGCTGGGAGCCAAAACAGAAGGCGCGGAAATGACGCCTACGTGCGCAAGCGCCGGCGGCCCTGCCGCGCGGTGGCTGCTGGGTGCCGCACGCCTTTCCTTCCCTCGCCTCTCCCCTCCCCCCTTCCCGTCCCCACCCCCCCACCCCGGCCGCTCTGCTCCCTGGCGTGACTCGGCACTGAGAGTCCCGGGGAAGACGCCGCGGTCGCCACCTCCCGTGGTCAGGCCTCGGCCTTCCTGAGCCTCCCGCTCTTCCTCTCCCGGGTCGCCTTCTTCAGTTTTGAAGCCGGTGGCGTCGCGGCCGCCCTGCCGGGCTGAGAATGGTGGGAGTGAAGCCGGTCGGGAGCGACCCGGATTTCCAGCCGGAGCTGAGCGGCGCGGGCTCCAGACTCGCCGTGGTCAAGTTCACCATGCGAGGGTGAGGCCGGGCGCGAGCCCTGTGGGCCCCTCGTGTGCGTGCCTGCTTTCCCTTCACTTTTTTTCCGGGTCCCGACTCCTTGCCGTCTGCTGCTCCGGAATGTCCCGCGCTGGCCGCAGCCCCAGGCCGCTGCCCAGTTAGGCCTCAGCTCCCCTGTTTGTGCGCAAGGGAGTCTCTGGAGGGCACGGAGGCCTGGCCAACCGCGAATTCCAGCCCGGGAGATCTACACCCGTCCCTTCTGAATCCTCGGACGAGGCCACTTGGGGTGGCCCACCTCTGTTCCTTCTAGTCTGTGGGAGTCTTCCTGCAGCCTCTCCTGCTTTTGCCTGTTACATTTCTTCCGGGGAGCCAGCTGTCACTTGCATCTTAGAAAACCTAAAATCTTAATTTTCCGAACACTTTGGCTTTCTTCACTGCTTGCGTGTCTGTAAAACCTTTAGAAACTTCAGTTGGGGCTATCCAACTAATCCACGTAGCGCTCATTTAATGCGTTTTAAATTAATGTTGAGTCCGGTGCTTTTTACTTAATGGCCTTGTTACTCGTTTGGTTAGTAACTTTGTAACTTAGCCTCCCTTATGTATGCGGCTGCATCTGATCACAGAAATTACATTGGGTATATATGCAATGCAGGTATCCAGACATCTGGGTTTGGCCATATAGACTCCATTTTTGACTTGATCGTTTAACAGGACAGAGATGTCGACTTTGGTAAATCTCAACATGATTTATTGGTCGCAGAGCTGGTGGAATTTCCATTTTGAGTGTGCAGTGTACCTGTGTGAGAGTGACATGTTGGAAGTAGGCCTTTGGAACCAAGATTTCAGCCAGGGTGTGTATTTACTGGCCTCCCTTTGTGTATGTTAGTGCCTTCTAAGAATTAGTGGTCTCCATTTGACTTACCTTGACACCCTAGCCTCCGAGTTATTTACATTTACCCTGAGCTGGAGAAATTTACTTGCAGGTATTACTGTTTATGTAACCCATTGAATTGTCCAGGTAACTATATAAAATAAGGCAGTATTTTGAGGGTAAAAAGTGATTCGTGGTTATTGAACATGATTCAGTAAATGTTGAGTATATAAGTGGTGGCATTAGGATTAGATAGTTTTAGGGCTTGGGTGGATGAAGATAGAGATGATAACAATTAAAGACTTATTCCTGGATCAATCTGTCTCATAAGAATTGAAAAGGCAGAGTATATTGGATTTTATAGGGTGGCCGAGAGTACCAATTTGACATGTAGACTTTCACATTTATTAAATTGGAGAAGATAAAGATTTCATTATAAAGACGTGTAAAAGGAATGTCAAAATTCTATAAATATATCTTCTCAGCTTTAGCAATTTTGCAATGTCTGTATTCTTTTTTTTTTTTAATGTTTATTTTTGAGAGAGAGCGCGCATGAGTGGGGGAGGCACAGAGAGAGAGGGGGAGATACAGAGACTGAAGCAGGCTCCAGGCTCTGAGCTGTCAGCACAGAGCCCGACACGGGGCTCGAACCCACTAACCGAAACGTGAGATCATGACCTGAGCTGAAGTTGGGTGCTCAACTGACTGAGCCACCCAGGCGCCCCTGCAATGTCTATATTCTTAATATGGGGAATACATCCTACATACTAAGCACATTTACTAAGTGCCTAGGCCAGAGTTGGAAAAGGGAAGAGATGATTTTAACAATGACTCTCATTTTTAGTTCACTTTCCTAATTCTAGTCTGTAGGAATGTATAGACTTTTGTCCCTCAATGAAATACTCTCTTTTCCCCTTACCATAGCAGAAGAGATGACAGACAGTGATAAATAATTTATTAGTTGAAGTGAGAAAAGTGGGGAAACATTGCTATTAAGGAAACACTTCCGTTAACAGTGAGGTTTCATATAACCATAAACAACTGCAGACATCGATTGGCAAAGCTCTGTGTTAGTTTTTAAAAAGGTATTTTGATGCAATGAGAATTTAATTTTTTATGGTAAAAACTGAGAACAAAAGTTTGAATTTAGAAAGCTTTTAAGTTCCAAAGCATATTTAGGTAATTTATAAATCTGTTGAGATTGTATTTGCCTTAAAGTTCTGTAATATTTTGGCTGTTAATGTGTTCCTCCACAAACTGTATGTGATTGTGACCTCAGACTTTCATAACTCAGCATCGGTATTAGACCCTCAAAATAACTGTATCCAATAGATCATGTAGGAAACCTCTTAGATCAAAGTTAATGTCCCATGTTAGGCCAAGAACATAGTTTTCTCTGTCACCTATTTCTTTATTTCTTTTCCAACCCTACTTTTAAGCCTTATTCCGTTTTCTTCACTTCCATGTTATATCTAACATTAATTTTACTAAAATGTTATATAGATTGTCACTCTTTTGGTTAAAAATCTTCAGTGGCTCTCCAGTATTTCAGTGTTTTTAATTGCAATAAAATATATGTAACATAAAATTGACCATTTTAGCCATTTTTAAATGTACAGTTCAGTGGCATTAAGTACATTCACAGTGTTGTACCACCATCACCACTATTTCCTAGAATCTTTTCATTATCTCAGATAGAAACATTAACCAATAACTTTACCCATGAAGCAGTAAATCCCAATACCCCCAGTCCCCCACCCCGGTAACATCTGTCTGTTTCTATGAATTTGCCTGTTTTTGCGATCTCACGTAAGTGGAGTCATATAACATTTATCCTTTGGTTTCCGGCTTATTTCCCTTAGCATAATGTTTTCAGGATTCATCCATGTTGTAGCATGTATCAGAATTTCCTTTTTAAAGTTAAAAATTTCATCATATGCATATACTATATATTGTTTATTCATCTGTTGATGGACACTTGGGTTGTTTCCACTTTTTGGTTATTGTGAGTAATACCGCTTACTGACATTGGTATGCAAGGATATCTTTGAGTTCCTGCTTTCAAGTCTTTTGGGTATATACCTGGGAGTGGAATTCAGTTGCACCAAATAGCCATCCTAAATGGGTGTGAAGTGGTCTGGTGGTTTTGGTTTGTAATTCCTTAATGGCTAATGATGTTGAGCATTTTTTCATGTGCTTATTGGTCATTTATTTTCTTTAGAGAAATGCTGATTCCAGCCCTTTACTGATTTTGAATTAGAGTGTTTGGGTTTTTGTTCTTGAATTCTTTCTTTCTTTCTTTCTTTTTTTTTTGGTAAGATTTTATTTTTAAGTAATTTTTACACCCATCGTAGGACTTGAACTCACAACACTGACCTCAGAAGTTGCACACTCTACCAACTGAGCCAGCCAGATGCCCCTATAGGAGTTCTTTATATACTTGGGGTATCAATTCCTTACCTGATAAATGGTTTATAAATATTTTCTCCCATTGGTTGCCTTTCACTTTCTTGATAGTGTCCTTTGATGCACAAAAGTTTTTACATTTTAATGAAATCCAGTTTATATATATTTTCTATTGTTGCTTGTGCTTTTGATGTCATATCCCACACATCATTGTCAAATCCAGTGTCATGAAGATTTGCCCCTATGTTTTCATCCATGAATTTTGTAATTTTAGTTTTTAAATTCTTTTACCCATTTTGAGTTAATTTTTGTATATGGTGTAAAAGTCCACTTTCATTCTTTTCTATGTCGCTATCCAGTTTTCCCAGCACCATTTGTTGAAAAAATTGTTTTTTCCCCAGTGAATAGTCTTGGCACCCTTCTCCAGTGTTGTTGTTGTTTTTTTTAAATAATTAAAATAGCCAACATTTACATATTATTTCTTTTGTAAGAGACTTATTTAAAAATTTATATTGACTTATTCAGTCCTCAAAATAATCTTTGAAATTATCCCCATTTTACACATGAGGATGTTGAGTCACAGGTTGAATAATTTAAGGTCCCATTGCTGAATGCACTGCAGGAAGTGTAGTGTTGTCCTTGTTTTTCCCAGCCTAAATAGAAAGGAAATGCAGGTTCACCCCTGTATTGCACACAACCTGACCTTTTTTTTTTTTTTTTTAAATATTGCCTTGAATTATTTAGCCACAGCACTGCTTGCAAACTAATCTTATGACCTAGGACATTTCAGTTCATTCTGTGATATTCTTTCCCCACCTGTAACATGGGGATGTTAACACGTAACCTAACAGCATTGTTTAGACCATAAAATTATATATATGAATTATATACTGTGGTGATGTGTTTTTGTAACTGTTATTTCCATACTGTTACTCTTTAAATATACATTTAATGGTTATAAACAGTGCCAGTTTTGTTGTTATCACTAGTAGGTAAGCCCCAATGCTAAAAGAATATGCATTTTCTTTCCCATAAAACTCAGTGTGAATGATTTTTATTTTTTTATTTTATTTTTTTTTAATGTTTATTTATGTGTGAGACAGAGAGAGACAGAACATGAAGGGGGGAGGGTCAGAGAGAGGGAGACACAGAATCCGAAACAGGCTCCGGGCTCTGAGCTATGAGCACAGAGCCCAACATGGGGCTCGAACTCACAGACTGTGAGATCATGACCCAAGCCGAAGTCGGACGCTCAACTGACTGAGCCACCCAGGCGCCCCTGATTTTTATTTTAAATTGAAGTATACTTGGCATACAATGTTATACTAGTTTCAGGTGTACAGCATAATGATTTGATGGTCATACGCTTTACAAAATGCTCACCACGGTATAGTCCCCATCTTCCACCATACAAAGTTACTACAATGTTATCTGTATGCCGTACTTTATATCCCCATGACTTTTTTATAACTGGAAGTTTGTGCTTCTTGATCTGTTTACCTATCCCCTCCCCACCACCACCGTTTGTTTTCAGTATTTATGAGTCTTTCTGGTTTTTTCGTTTGTGTGTTTGTTTCTGTTCCAACTTTTTATTTAACCTCAAGTTAGTTAACATACAGTGTAGTGTTGGTTTCAGGAGAATTTAGTGATTCATCAGTTACATATAACAGCTACTACTCATCACAACAAGTGCCCTCCTTAATGTCCATCACCCAATTAGCCCATCTCCCCACATACCTCCACT